TAAAAGGTACTAGCAACAGAGCACTACCTTCCGGATGATGTGCGGCAACTCCAGGCGTCTGGTCGGGGAAGCGCTGGTAGCCCGTCGCAGCCAGCGCCGTTCCCCATCCCACGCATGCGCACAACTGTGCTACTGCCGGTTTGCTGCACAACATTTGATCAGCTGCCAGAGCATAGAGCCGTGGGGGCACGTCAGATTGCACTCCCGCGGTTCTTTTTGCTCCGGCTCTAATTTGCCTCCTTTTGGCAGTGGATCATCCCGCTCGTTTGACCGGGATCAAGGATGATCAGGGGCCTGGGGACCAAGCCCTACGAGAAAAGTAGGGTTGCCAAGTCTGGCCCACAAGCCGGCGGTGGACTTACAAGGAGGCTCGAAGAGAGGGGAGGGAAGAAGCGTGACGTTCCTATGCCCCCTCCAGGTGACGTACACGTCAGGGATGTCAGTGACGTGCCTACATCACCCGAAAGTGACATACACATATTGGTGACATCGTGGGGGCTACACTCTGTTTTGGGGGCAAAACTCTATGGTTTGAAGCTAATTCTACCATAGAGTTTTGTCCAGAGTGTCACCAGATGTTAGGCACTTTTATGTAGTGGCCCATCACTTGTGGCCCCTCATGGATCACTGCCTTGTCGTGGCGAGGGGGCTTGCGCAGTTCAATGAAGCTGTGGGCTATGCCGTGAAGGGCCACCCAAGACGGACAGGCCACAGCAGAGAACTCAGACCAAGCGTGATCCACCTGGAGAAGGAAATGGCAACCCACTCCAGTATGTTTGCCAAGAAAACCCCATGGACAGTATCAAAAGGCTAAAAGATATGACGCCGGAAGATGAGCCCCTCAGGTCGGAAGGTGTCCAATATGCTACTGAGGAAGAGCAGAGGACAAGTACAAGTAACCCCAGAAAGAGTGAAGCGGCTGGGCCAAAGCCGAAAGGACGCTCAGTTGTGGATGTGTCTGATGGTGAAAGGAAAGTCCGATGCTGCAAAGAACAATACTGCATAGGAACCTGGAATGTAAGATCTATGAATCAAGGTAAGCTTGACGTGGTCAAAAATGAGATGGCAAGACTTAACATCGATATCTTAGGAATCAGTGAACTTAAGTGGACAGGAATGGGCGAATTTAACTCAGAAGACCATTATATCTACTACTGTGGCCAGGAATCTCGTAGAAAAAATGGTGTGGCCTTTATAGTCAACAAGAGAGTGCAAAAGTCAGTACTGGGATACAATCTCAAAAATGACGGAATGATTTCTGTCCGATTCCAAGGCAAACCATTCAACATCACAGTAATCCAAGTCTATGCCCCAACCACTGATGCAGAAGAGGCTGAAGTGGACCGGTTCTATGAAGACCTACAACACCTCCTAGAACTAACACCAAAAAATGATGTCCTCATCATCATAGGGGACTGGAATGCTAAAGTAGGAAGTCAAAAGGTAACCGGAATAACAGACAAGTTTGGCCTTGGAAAGCAAAATGAAGCAGGGCAAAGGTTAACAGAGTTTTGTCAAGAGAACACACTGGTCATAGTGAACACCCTTTTCCAACAACCTAAGAGGCGACTCTACACTTGGACATCACCAGATGGGCAACACCGAAATCAGATTGACTATATAATTTGCAATTTTCATCAAAACCTAGGCTTCATGCATATTCTTTAGAACCTGTTCTTTTTCATTTACTTGTAAAATTTTATCAGATAAATGGCTCTTATTTTCAATGTCAATTCTAGATTCTTCCAGTTTCTGCAGAATATGATTCTCAAATATTCTGAACTCACAATACTATCCTGTGTACTTTCGGCAGGCACTCTTGGGGAGTCTACTGTCTCTCCTTCTGGGAAGAAGTGTACTTTCTAATTACAACTCACTATAATAATTGCTGAATTCATTAAACATCTATTAACAGGTAATATATTCATAAAGAATACAAATGCAGGTACTAACTAATAAATAATTACAAATAGATTCTCAATCACATGAATTAATATAAATAGTTAAAAAGAATAATATATAATAAACCTGTCAGTATAAACTTCTTCAGTCACCAGGAACAAATCAATCAGTCAGTGTTAAGAGGGTTGCCAATAGATTCATGTTGATGTTTCAGTGCTCAGGTGTTGTTTTTTCTTTGAAGTTAATTGGCCAAGACATATAAATTACAGAAGTGAAAGTGCCTCAGTGTCACTTAGGAAGGTCCAAGATAGAAATATCTTGAGGAGGACAAATTATAATCACTGTAACTATTATTCAAGCAGGCGTAAAAGCATGAAATTCTTACATCCTTTGCTAAGTCCTCAGAGGTAGGAAGAATAGAATAGGAGGTTAATAATAATGTTCTTATCCAGACGACTCATCACTTAATGAAAGCAATATCCTTGAGAGTCACGGTTCATCTTGAGATGCCCCAACAACTATGCAGCAAGCCTGATAGTAGCCAGGCCAGGCTCAGTCCTTGCCAGAGGGCAAATGCTCTTCTGGTGTTGCCAGTGGGACATACCTGTGGCAGGCTAACAGGCTGCCAATGCCCAAAACAGGTAGCACATGGAATGTGCTATGCCACCAAAGTTTGGGTGGAAATTGACTATGCCTCTCTTCTTCCTCCTTTGGGAGAAGCTGAAGCATCATTCTGCACAGGTAAAACTGGAGCCTGATGTCTCAGCTCCTGCAGCACAGTGAGCTGACCTGCTTCTTCCCCTGCAGCCATAAGTGCAAAGAGACTCTGAGCTTGTATTATATATTTTAAACATATCAGTAGACTATGACAATTCTATTTTGGGGCAGGAAAAAAAAACAGGATCGGAGTTCCGGCGGGCACCCAAGTTGGCCACGCCCAGCAGGAACTCATTAGCATAATAGGCCACACCCAACAGCAGAAACTCATTAGGATTGGCTACATTAAGGGGTGTGGCCTAACATGCAAAGGAGTTCCTGCTACAAAAAAGCCCTGGGTTTTGACAACAAACAAGGTAAACAGAATAACAAGCAAAAGGTGAGTGTGGCTGGATAACCACACTTCTGGTAACATGGGGGTGCGGCCTAATGTGCTAATGAGTTGTGCTGTCATGGGTGTGGCCCAATATGCTAATGAGTTTCTGCTGTTGGGTGTGGCCTATTATGCTAATGAGTTCCTGTTGAGCTTTTTCTACAAAAAGAGCCCTGAAAAAAAAAAACAAAGACCATCCACAAGGTTAAGTTGTGCAACCCTGCCTTGGAACACAGTTTGAATACTGTGGTCTTCATGAAAGATAGCAGCAACATAATCCAAAGGCTTTCTTTCAGGTGGTATAGTACCTTTAAATGATCTCACATTCACTATCCAAAGAACTTATCCAGTAATAGGTAGCCTAGTATTACTGACCTCAGGCTGCGATCATATGCACAATTAGACCCGATATAGGTGCGAATGCCGGGCAGATTTAAATGGCGCAATCAGACAACAGCATCTGGGAAGCTCCCCGCAGCTGTTGGCAACCCGTTCTGCTCTGCCGCAGAAGTGGAGTTAAAAGACCCCGGGGAAAACGTGTTAGTAAACAGGCTGCAATGGGCCATGGACGGACTTTCCTGTGTCTGATCACTCCAGTACGCTCTCATGGCGTCGGGATGGTCTGATCAGGCCATCCCGACTCTGTGCCGTTGTTTCCCCCCCTCGCAGTATGCGCATCATCGCAAACTCCATAGGGAGCTTTCGGTGCAGAGGTGCGATTCATCGATCCCTTGGTTAAGTGCATGGGGGAAAAAGGGCACCAAAAAAATGACTCACCTGCAGTTACATCTGATCACGCACTGATGGACTGTACCCACAGCCACAGCTTCAAAGGGAGGTGTGATCATGCAACTGCGGGTCAAATTCCTCTGGAGGAAATAGCCTCGCTCCCCCCCCCCTTTTTTCTGGTGCATGTGACCGCAACCTCAGAATAGAATATGGGAGGCCCATGTTCATATATGGACTCTGTGAGGTAACTGCGGTAGAAAATATTTATTAAGTAACGATCACAAAATTTATACAAAAATGTGTACCAAAAATCTGCATATATAAATGCACAAAGGCAGTTGAAAATGGTGAAACCGACGATGATCTCCGGAATCACTTTGCCCTAGGAACATTCTTTCAGAGAATCTCTTGCAACCATGTTATGATACATCGGTGAAAATTAATGAAATTGTTGATACGTACCTGTTGAAATAACAGACCAACGCTGCTTTCATCCACATTCAGAAGAAGAATAGTATCGAAACAGTAGAACATTTCGGAGATCATCGTCATTTTCAACTGCCTTTGTGCATTTATATATGCAGATTTTTGTACACATTTTTGTATAAATTTTGTGATCGTTATTTAAATATTTTCTAGCACAGTTACCTCTCAGTTTCTTCTTCTTTTGATCTGTTCTGTGACTGTGACCATCATTTTTGAGCCACATATATTGACTCTGCCATGGAAGCTCACTGGTTGTGAGGATAAAATAGAGGAGAGCAGAATAATGTTATAAACTCCATTGCATCTACTTTGAAGCTTACTATATTTGGAGGAAGCGATATGCTCAGTTGACACTAGTTTAAAGAACCTTGTCGGTATACAAAAATTAGAAAAATATGCTGGGGCAATAGTGGACTTGGGGATCCATGGTACCTTTACACACCAGTGTTCCCTCTAAGCTGAGTTAGTGTGAGCTAGCTCACAGTTTTTTAGCCTCCGGCTCATACATTTTTGCCTTAGCTCAGGAAGGAGGGCTCCCGAGCAAACTAATTTACATGATGGCCAAATCGCTCACTCACAACTTTAATGCCAGCAGCTCACAAAGTAGAATTTCTGCTCACAAGACTCCACAGCTTAGAGGGAGCATTGCCTGTGGCAGTTCTATATGTTTGTGTTTGAATGGGTTTTGGTCAGCTAAAGATTTTAAGAACTGAACCTTATTTTCTTTGCTGTTTTGTCTGAAGCTAATCTTTGAGAATGTGTATATTTTAAGTGTTCTCTCTTTTGTTTACAGACTGCTGAATGCCAATAAGATCAACTGCCTGAGAGTAAACACATTTCAAGATCTTCATAATCTCAATTTATTATCTCTATATGACAATAAACTACAGACCATCAGCAAAGGACTTTTTGTGCCTCTCCAGTCAATTCAAACTCTGTGAGTATCCAAAAAATAGAGCATAATTCACTAAGACACTGTCCCTTCATCTTTGCAGGGGGGGAACAATACTTCGATTTTCTTCCAGCCCTACTTTTTGGCCTTGTCTTGGTACAGAATATCCTTGGGGCTGAGTGTTATTGAAGCATTACTGCTGCTATTAAGTCTCATTCCATTTCAGGCAGCTGCCTGTGAGTTCATATTATTGTGCATGTATAGTGCATGAAAAATAATGGCAAATCAGGTTCTGCAGCAAATTGGTAGCATTTGCAGATGGTTAGGCTAGGATCTGAAGATGAAATATTTGCATCTATGTAAAAATCACTTAAGTGCCTTCAGATTTTATTGCTGTATTTATTCTGCTTAACATACCAGCCATTATATGCATTTAAAGAGTAGCTTCCAAGATCAGGAAGCAAAGCTCCAGCTGAGTATGTGCTCTGGCACATGCATATCTGTTTGTATCCTAGCTTAAAACTACATTCCTTAAGAAACACGTGTTCTGTGGCTTTGCATGATTTAGAGTATTCAGTATCAGTTCCTACCAAAAGCTGCATATCTCATGGATAATAAAATTTCCAATTACATTCCCACTCTCACAGAGTAAATGTTATATATCATTGTACCTTTTGGGTCTTTTAGGCTCCAGCAAAATATTATTTTTCAAAATATCAGTTCGATATATTTTTGTTTTCTTTGTGTCTTACAGTGAGAGATGGTATCAAGTTATAACAGAGGAGTCAAAATGGTTTTATTTTTATTAGAAATGTTGCACATACTATTTTTGACATTTTCTTGGATTGCTTTTCATCACAGGACAAAGAAGATTAAAAAAAAACAATAACCCTGGCTGTTTGACTCTGTTAGAAATGTTTTGGTTAAAAAAAAATGATTAAGAGGATCTTGTTGCCAGTGTTTGGTGAGATCAGAATTTTGTGCTGATCTTTTCCCCCATCACCCTACTAACTTGTAAACCTCTTGTTTAACTGTGCCATATGTTAATAAAGCCATTCCAACAGGCCCCTTTATAGAACAGGACTGATTTCATGGAGCAACCACCATAGACAATCTCAAAACACTGGCTGCTACATGCACTGAATCATTTCGGGTACATTAGACTGACATTCTTATTCACATGTTTTGTCTGCACTTCACATACATTCCTGGAATGGAAACAAACTCTTATGATGCACACTGATTCATGTGGAGAACTGTGCACATCATCAGCTTTGTGGTGGATAAATGATAGCCACGTAAGGGCAGATGCATTGCATGGAAACTCCCTATAGTTCTTTCCTTAATTTTGGATTTTGTCACTATTTTAATTAAAAGCACATTACTATAACGGTGAAGTATGTATTAATTATGGATTGACATGCACCTTATTTACTCAAAAGATGACCCTTAATGTAAGATGACCCCCTTAAAAATGTTATACACACACATAGTTATTATTGGACATAACTATAACATAACTATGAGATGACCTCCCTCTTTTTTTTTTGTTTGATGATATATGTATGGAAAAACCTAGTCTTGCATCTGAGAAACTATACTAGAAATTAAGTGCAAGTTAATTGCAATGATAACTGCAAAAGGAAGAGTAATTAGGGTAGCCATATATAATTAGCTCAGATGACTATAATCAATAACTGCGAGCAAGGCTATGCCTATGGAACCTTATTATAAGACTTATTAACACATTTTTGCTATTGCTCTGATAGGAACAAGTTCAAACTAAACAGAGATGCTGTTTGTTATCCACCTCAGTACCCAGACACAATGCAGGAGATATATCTACGGATTAAGCGAAATAAACCTTCAGATAAATAATCTTCAGGTCTATTAGGTAGATTATAGATTTCATGATCAATGTTGTTTGAAAGTCATATTTGAGATTATATTAGTTTTAACCAATATGCTGAGAATTTTTAAATTTCACTCCTAAGATATAACCTCTGGCTCATCTGTGACTTTGCCACTGGTCTGATGGATACTGGTTTACATATCTGTGTTTCAATCTCTATAAAGATTTAATTTTGTAATAAAGAATCTTTTCAATTTAGCATTTTTTAAAAGGTTCCTTCAACTGCGTTATCCTTTGTCGGGCTCCCAGATGAAAATTGTGGCTTTTGTGGACAGGAAGTCTGTGTCCTTTAAAGCAGACTTTGCTATATTAATTTTTGTTTCCTTCTTGAAAAGGGCTCTCTGCAAACGTGATGAGCTAAAAAATATGAAATTTCTCCCATTCAAGGGCAGCTCCATGTGGCTTCCGCCAGGCCTGGTGCATTGGAAGCTGATTCAATTACTCTACTCTTCAGATTTGTGTTTGTAAAAAACAATGATGGAGTACAGTGTCACAGGTCACTTCTGGTTAAACATCCCATCCCTCTTGCAGGCATTTAGCTCAGAATCCATTTGTGTGCGACTGCCATTTGAAGTGGCTGGCTGATTACCTGCAGGATAATCCAATAGAAACCAGCGGTGCTCGATGCAGCAGCCCACGTCGCCTTGCCAACAAACGAATCAGCCAGATCAAGAGCAAGAAGTTCCGTTGCTCAGGTAATTCATTTATCCAGACTGTACTGCACTTTCAGTTCTGAAATAGGCAGGTCCAGAGAGCCTGCTAATCAAATCTGTAGGACAGTGTTTGCTATAATGGATATTATGGAGCATCTTTTTAAAATTAAATTTGGGAAATTGGATTAGTCCTCCAGAAAACCTATTTACCTTATGCATTAAAAAGAGACAAACCTTTAGCTTCCCTTGTGCTTTCTTTAACTTAGAAGATAGCAAGTAATTTTAAAAGAATGCGGCACTGTGCTATCTATAAACTAGATAACATGTAATTGAACCCATGTGCCAAATGTCTGATTATTTTAGAAATGAAAGAATTCAGATGTGTTCTGAGCAAATTTAGGTGGAGGTTTTTTTTAGATATTTCAAGAGATGATAGTACAATAGCACTCTGCAAATAATCATCATGAAAGAGATAAACCACGATTAAAATTAACCTAAATCCAGATGGTCTGAAGCAGTAGAACAAATTTAGAGTCCAGTGGTACCTTTAAGACCAACAAAGTTTTATTCAAGATATGAGCTTTCATGTGCACGCACACTTGATCAAATACATTAGAATGGCAGGGAAGGTTCAAACTTTTAGCCAGAGAATGAACAGCAAATTAACATGTAACATGATGATGTTCAAGATATACAAAGTGACATTAAATTACAAGTTAAAGTTATAAGTTCAACAGTTGTAAAGTAATAAATGTGTCAAACTAGCAGATGAATGTCTAAATGTGTCTTTTCCAGTTGTGGGAAGTGACTGGGAATCTTCATTCTCTCCTCTCAGGCGCAGAGGGCACTTGACCCTACATCCCCCTCAAACAACCCAATATCCCTTGCATTACATTCAGTATTATAATATACCATTCTGCAAAAGAAATACACTAAAATACAGAGGATTTATAGTCCTTGTTGCTGAGAATACATATGTGAGGAGTGAATGAGTTAGCATATGTAATGGGATAAAAATCCTATATTCCTGTTGAGTCCCGGGGAGGTTTTTGTTCCAAGTATTGTAATAACTTGTAATTCAGCAATTTCCCTTTCCATTCTGTTCCTGAAGTTCCTTTGTAATAAACAGCTACTTTGAGGTCACCCATTGAATGTCCTGGAAGGTTAAAGTGTTCTACGGGTTTCTCAGTCTTGTGATTCCTGATGTCAGATTTGTGTCTATTTATCCTCTGGCTCAGGGTTTGTCCTATTTGTCCTATGTAGAGAACCAAAGGGTACTGTTTACATTTAATGGCATATACATTGTTGGGAGTAAGTGAATGAGCCCCTGATGGTATAGTTGATGTTGTTCAGTTCAGTGATTGTGTTGTCTGGGTGCATGTGGCAGCAAAGTTGGCATCTGGGTTTATTGCAAGCTCTGGTTCCAGTGTCCATGTTCAAATGAGATGCTGCATTATTGTGGGTGAAGAGTTGTTTGAGATTGGGGGGCTGTCTGTGTGCAAGAAAAGGTTTTCCCCCTAGTACTTGTGAAAGAGAACTGTCATCATTCAGAAGAGATTGTAAATCGTTGATGATGCATTGTCCTGTTTTGAGCTGAGAGCTGTATGAACACCACTAACAGCTCTCAGCTCAAAACTAAAGCTCATACCTTGAATAAACCTTTGTTGGTCTTAAAGGTGTCACTGTATTCTAAATTTGTTCTAAAATTAACCTGTAATATTTGGTAAAATGTTTTAATGTGTATCTAGGGTTCTGGGGCTGATCTGAAATATTACAGACCTACACTTACTGATCTCTGTTGTTAGCATGTGTTTCATCTTCCAAGCATTGGGAAAAGGACATGGTCTCATGAAATTAAAATTCACAGTCTGTTCATATATGGGTTTCACTTGTAATAGTAGTACAGTGTCAGTGCAGTCCTAAACAGTTATACCCCTCTAAGCCCACTGACTTCAGTGGACTTACAGGTATGTAACTCTGTTTAGGATTGTATTGTTTACTATTTATGTTAAGCAATTGAAGTATAAGAAGTTTTTTCTTCTTCTGTGCCATGAGATTATTAGTTGAATTTATACAGAGTAAAGTTGCTGTTGCCCTAGCCTGGATGGTCCAGGCTGACCCGATCTAGTCAGAACTCAGAAGCTAAGCAGGGTTGGCCCTGGTTGGTCTTTGGTTGGAAGACCAGCAAGGAAGTCCAGGGTTGCTATGCAGAGGCAGGCAATGGCAAACTGCTGCTGAATGTCTCTTGACTTGAAAACCCCATGAGGGGTCATCATAAGTCAACCGCAGCCTGACTGCACTTTCCATCACCGTAATCAAAACTGGTGTCATTGATGGAATATCTTGCATAATTTAAAATTAGTATTGGTGCTCCCTTTTCACCAAAAAGGGGCCATGATAAATCTTGGTTCAGATAGTGAAGAACCAATGGTAGTAGGTTCTGCTTTAGTTGGAATAAGAATGACATGCAGCCTAGGAAGGAAACCTTTTCTCCTCAATGACGCGTAAATGGACCTTTATCAATATAATAAAAGCCGCTGTTCTCTAAGATATTGCAGGTGTTAGTTATATAAATTATATTGCAGCTGTAAGTTACATAAATAACTTAGAATTGTATGTTTGGAGCTCACCCAGTTAGGGTCCCAGTGTAAAATTTACTAGATGTCTTATTTGACATCTTGGTCCACAGTGATTAACTAGCAGCATGAATTCCACAAATTGCAGCATGGATTCCACAACTGTAAAATTGGGAATGACTCTCCTCTTGTGGTAGGGGGTATTTTATTTTAAAACATTTATATTCCTCCTTTCCTAAGGACCCAAAGTTAACAGAATATCAGTACAGATATACTCCATTTAAAATCCATCAATCAGACAGCAAAAAGTAGGGTTGCCAAATCTGGGTAGGGAAATACCTGGAGATTTGGGGGATGGAGCCTGAGAAGAGTGGGGTTTGGGGCATAATGCCATACAGTCCAACTTCAAAAGCAGCCATTTTCTCTAGGTGAACTGATCTTTGTTGCCTGGAGATCAGTTGTAATAGTGGGAGATCTCCAGCCACCACCTGGAGGTTGGCAACCTTCACAAACTGCAAGCCATCCAAAGATCAAGAACCTACAGGTCTCCCGGGGAAGTGCATTACACCACAGAAAAGGCACCAAATGGGCCACTCTCAAAAAAGGTACAGTCATCAGGTTTGGGTGTATGATGACACCCAGCTTTACCTGATGTTGGGCGGCCAGTCGGACTCCAGACCAGAAGATCTGGACAGGGCACTACAAGCTGTGGCTGATTGGCTTAGACTGAACTGGCTGAAACTGAATCCGACGAAGACGGAGGTCCTGTGCTTAGGTCAGGGCGGTCCGGGGTGGGGATCCCACTCCTGACCTTCGGTGGGGCACCACTGGTGCCAGCACCGGAGGTTAGGAGTTTGGAAGTGCTCCGGGATGCCTCCTTGCTAGGTCGGCCTTTTACCATCTTTGGCTGATTAGGCAGTTGGTTCCCTTCCTTGACCGCAATGACCTGGCAACAGTAAACCATGCGATGGTCACCTCGAGACTCGACTACTGTAACGTTTTCTACATGGGGCTGCCCTTGTCGCAAATTCAGAAGCTGCAGCTAGTGCAGAATGCCATGACTAGGCTCCTGATGGGCCTTCCCATGTGGGAGCACATCCAGCCTGCGCTGAAGACATTGCACTGGCTGCCAATAGCATACCAAATTCGCTTCAAGGTGCTGGTACTTACCTTTAAAGCCCTATATGGCCAGGGTCCGACATACCTGAGGGACCACCTTTCCTCATATATATACCCCAGAGAGCACTATGGTTGGGGTCTCAAAATCGACTGACCCTCCTGGGTCCCAAGGAAGCCAGGCTCACTACCACCAGGGCCAGGGCCTTTTCAGTGGCTGCTCCATACTGGTGGAATGAGCTCCCGGAAGAGATCAGGGCCCTGCGGGATCTTTTACAGTTCTGCAGGGCCTGCAAGACGGAGCTCTTCCACCAGGCTTTCAATTAAGGCGCCGTCTTCACTACTACCACCAACAATCGTAGATATAGATCCTGGCCCTTAATTTTAATTTTGACATCTGGCCTGTGCCGCCTCATGACTTAGGAAGATCACTGAGCTGAAAAACTGCTTGTCTATATGCACTCTTCAGTACGCCATCTGAAGTATCTAAGGAAATATTTAGGATTTTACGTTCTTATTTGTAAGTGAATTGTTTAAATGTTTTTATATGGATTTTAATGGTTATTTATGTACCAACCAATGTAAGCCACCCTGAGCCTGTTTCTGGGGAGGGCAGGGTACAAATTGAAGTGGTGATGATGATGATGATGATGATGATGATGATGATGATGATGATGATGATGATGATGAGTGCTCAGTGTGCACACAATCCCATATAGGGAGACATAGCTGTGAAAAACTTCATTCTGCTCAAGGAAAAGTGATGTGAATGCTAGAGTTATGTCGAAGCAGTTTATGACTTTGCATCTCTTTGTGCAATCATAACCACAGCTTGTTTATGACCATGGATGGTATCAGGAATGTGTAACATTGTGACAGTCAAATGATATATAACTGTTTTTTTTAAAAAAAAAAGTTATGCAGCTCACAAGTTTGCCTTTCAACGTGATTCTGCTTGGAATTTCAAGAAGTAAAGCACACATCACTGGAATTGGAAAACAGGAATTCTATTGAATGTCAAATGTCCCATTGTCTTATTTCTTTAGTATATCAATTTAATGTATTTGGTTGGTATAATGTCCTGACATATACTGCAACAGGTGTAAATCCTTGGTGTTTTGTTTTTTGTTGAAAAAACAATGAACTTAATTATATACTTGCACAAGCAATAATCTACTTTTACTTACCCTAAAGTTTGCCTCTGGTGATTGTAAACATGATGACATAGAGAGAGAGAGACGCACACACAAACGTTTTGTAGTGCGTGTCAGTTTAGAAGCTTTTCTTAGCGTCAGCAAACTCAGTTTCCATAGTATGAGAAGGACATGGAAGAACACTACTACTGTGTTT